ACGAATCGATTAGACGGGTTCGAAATAATTCTCTGGAATAACCGTGCCTCTCGTTCGTATATCGAAGAATTATTTCGATTATTCCGTGATACCTTAATTTGCTCAAAATGTAGGAATGTTTTGGAGTTCAACTAATGTTTTTGTTATTTTTGACAGATTCAATTGACTTAATAATTGTTGAAAAGTTATTTTTTTGCAATCTACTGCAGGAAAACTGTTCAGCAATTTTTTACAACTGTTTCTACATAAATTAATAAATTAATAAAACAGGCCACCTAATTATTTTCTCCAGCTATGGTAGCACGAGACAATTTTATTCCTAATTTAAATGATTTCAAAGGGTGAATAAGATGAAACAAAAATTTGTTTATAATCGCTATCTTTCCTGTTTGACATTGGACTCTAAAATTTTTAAATCAAATATGAAACTTCCTTTCATTTGCCATTTCTTTCATGGAAAAAGAAATCTCATTCGTCTTACTTACCCATTGAAATCATTTAAATTGCGTATAAAAATTGTCTCCTAATTAGGCGGCCTGTTTCACGCGACTCACCCTGTATATTTAGTTCTAAATTTTTAAATTCATTAAGAAAATCAAAAAATTCGTTTCTCGCATTATACGATTAAACAATGGCACGTATCTCGAATGTTAAATCTGTTACGTTTTGATAAACGACGAATAGCCCAGCAAAGAGACGGTGAAATAACGCGTGTCTCATTGTGACGTCGATTAATGACCACTGAGACACCTGATATATTATACCGACAGCATGTAAATCTATCTTTTCAAATCAATTTAACTACCGGGCGTCTGCAGAGACGTTTTCCTCCCTTTTGAATTCGAATAAAAAGCACACCTGTGTGTTCTGTATACTTGAACTAAAACAGAGAGAAAAAGAGAAAAGAAGAAAGAAACGCGGTAATATTTTTCATGCGCTTTTCATAATGCATAATAGTGCGACGGCTAAGGGAAAGCAAATAGGATATCATCCTGGTAATTAATATTCTCGCGGTAAAATGCGAGATTTTGCCCAGTTTCATTGATATTTTCCGGCATCCGCGGCAGAAATGTGTAGAGAAATTTTCGACGAATCCATAGCTGAAGTCATACAGATACGTTTAATTAAAATCCAGACACGCTCCTGTGCATTTTTTCCATCGATGATATTCTCGCGTGAGATACTACTACCGGCAGCATGATGGAGTCACGTGGAAACATTTTTGCGCTGTGGAAAATTGTGAAATTCTCCTTTTTTTCACCCTCACCATCTACAGCGAATTTGCGAGATCTGACTTTAATTTCACTGTATTAACCACTGATGAGGTGGAATGATTGTTGCGGAATTGGCAGGGAAAGATCGATTTGACAGAATTATTTTACATATAGGTACACTACCGGTCAGAAATTTGGAATCACTTATCAATTTACACCAATATTGAATCTTAGCGCTAATTTTTTATAGATTTGAAATGATGTTGTAGAGATCAATAGCAATTTGCCCCATTTCGATGAATTTAAATTATAAAGAATTCGTTAGAAAGTTCTTTAAATTGCTTACCCTTTTCTGGGTAATGCTTACCCTTTTCTTATGTAACTTGCAATGCACAGTGATCCCAAACTTTTGGCCAGTAGTGTATATTTTAAAAAATGTTAGGTTGTTTCGTATGAAACGGCCAGTTTCACAATTTTCCCTGCTAAATGGCAAATTGCGTACGACAGTGAATCACGGACCGAGATGAAATTTCACTGGCCATTTTTTACAGCGAAAATTTAGTAGCGAAGTGGAAATAAGAAACGTTTTCAAAGACTCTTCTTGCACCTAGAGGCAAAGAGTTTTCTTTTAACGAAGGCATAAATAACCTTGTTTTGCAGTGATCAAAGATCGCTCTGATTAGTAAATATCATTTTTATTGAAACCACAGACGTGGGAAGTTTCATTGATACCTCGGTCTTTTCTCATCTGCGACAACCTAATGTAATTTTGCAGCGTTCAGAAAGGGCACGTAATGAAATTCTTCGTACGAAATCATTCTTACTTGTGGACGATCATTTTTATTGATTTCATTTTTCTTGCTTTTGCAGTAGAATTCTAGAACTAGTAGAAACTTTGCGTATGATAAATTTTATGTCGCAAATAATAACCAGTTATTCAAAATAAGCATCTTATTACCTGATCTTTGAATCAGTTTTTCCAATTATCTTGACATAAATTCACGTATCACGCTGTTACGATTGATTAAATTTCGAGATGCAAGACAAATTTAATGTAAATCGAGTGGTTTTTCAATTTTATTCAAACCTTTTTTAATTGTCATTAAATTGAAAATTTTTTAATTTTTAATCGTTATTCAAACTTGTCGGCAAGTGTATTCGTTAACTTTAGTATCAAGTCAATCACACGTTTTACGAGTACATTTTAAGACGTCTAATTAGATTAGTTGGTCATAAACTATAGAATCAGTAGTAGATGTAAACGATTCTTCAGGACTGTATCATCGCCAAATCAAATTTTACGAACGACAACAGAGACGTTGTTTAGACAAATGTTGCGGAAACGATTTAACAGCAATTCAGTGTTGAAAACACCGCTAACTATATCCCATCAATTCGTCTTCCTGTCAAGACTTCCAGCCACGATGCTTTTACGTCGAGGTGCATTCGTTGCAATATATAATATCATTCTGCGCGTTGCATTTCGTTCTGCTCCTTTCAGCCGTTGCGCCGAGAAATTGAATGAAAAAACAAAATTGGCCACGTTTGCGGGAATACGGCGCGTGTCAAAGAAACTCCAACGAAGAGAGATCTCCCGATTCACGCTCCGTCTTTAGAATTTTAATATACGGAACACTCGCGTGTATCTTACCTCGGAATTATACCTGTTAGACGCAAAGGATGTAATTTATCAAGTGTGTACTTCGTCGAATTATCCTAACTCAACAGCTTGAGAAACACTTGCAATTGAAGAAATTTCATCTTCCGATATTTTCTTGGCTAGAAATTTCGATTTTTATGATAAATATTAAATTTATCCGCGAAATTTGTACGATACAGCGAAACTACCTGCGTATCCGCGGTTTCAGGTGTCCACGGTTGGTCCGACAAAATTAAATAGAAAATTCTGAAATTCTTAAAGCAGACGATCCTTTTACCTCAATTTATTTTTTATTTTATTTTACTTCAATTATAATTTATTGTTATATTTCTGTTTTATTTTATCATTAGTTATTTTCGTTAATGTTTAATTACGCCTGATTAATGCACTCAGAAGCCAAAGTGACTAAAGTGATAAAATAAGATTTATGAAATTTGTTTTATTTATAAAATTGTAAGAGCATCAGAAAGTAAATAGAGTTAATCATTTCCGCTTCTAAGTGAAAGATCTTGGAGCCTTTCTCCACGTGTACAGAGGTTTTCTGCTATGCTAATATCGAATCGTTGATTAATTTATCCGTCCATTCGTAACAGCGCACGTCATATGAAAATATCATTCACGCGCTTGAACTCATAGCGATCACCTGATAGGCTAACGAGTGCGGTACACAATTTACAGTGCGATGAGAATGCATTTGCAAGTGGGGAATCACACGTCAAACTCGTGTTTATTACGTTTGACCTGATATACAACGAGCTTGTCTCGTGTTTCTTACATTTGGCCCCTAAAACGTAGCATGAGTATCACGCGATATTGTAATCTCTGTGGCTCTTTGCCGAGCTGAGTCACTGCAGCAATAGTTAATTGAAATCGTCAAATTTCCTACGAGGAATTGATTGTAAGTACATACGTTAAATCGGTGGAAAAATGAACTGCGATTACTTATTCAGCAGGTAACTGTGTCACTATTTTAACTTTCGTTTGCTAAATCTTTATATAAATTTCATCTTCTTTCGGCTCTTCGATCGTCCACAAAGGGTTAAAAATAATTTACTTTGCCTTTGCTTTGATTTTGTCACGTGAAACTTTACACCAAGCATTCCATGCAGCGAACAATGATTCCGAAATTTTGTGTTAGACGTGATTGGTAACTTCGTGAATAATAAATTGAACAATTTAACTCACTTGGAAGGATCGTACTTGAAAACATTTTTTTTTTAAAGATAATTGTGTTTAGAATAGAAATATCGATTTCTTTCTGCATCGAAACAACTTTCGAGAGCTTTCTCTTTTCCCTTGTAAATAAATGTTCCAACTACGATACGAGCCACTCAGAAGCCCCAAAAAGTGACTAACTCTGTAAAATAAAATTTTCGAAATTAGTTTTATTTCTAAAAAATTAAGCATGTGTTTAATACTAAAATTGGAAGAATATCAAAAAAGTGGAGTCATTCTTTTTATCTTCTGAGTGACTCATACGCTCCACCGACTTACCCCGTGAAACTTGAAATACAGAGAATTGCACGGATAATCGAGTGGACTAAAAGAAAGTGGAATACGTTTGTTGCAGCGGGTTCCAGGAGTTTTTGGAATGTTCGCACCATACGGTTCGCCGGCAATGTGGCGATGACACAGCTCAATTCGCAAAGGAGTTTCTTGACAGAATGTCGAGCTGGCTTTTGAGGGTAAATATTTGTTACTTTTGCCCGGGGAGAGAGGCTGTTGTTACCGCAACGAGATACGTCCGGCCGTGTAACTGTGGCAGCGTTTCTCGCCAAGTTCCTTAAAATATGTATCTACCTGTCTGAAGTATAGTGCAAAGTACACGGGACGTGTATATCGTTGCGGGGCGACGTCTTTTTTCTTGGATAAAATTGCACCTTCCATCAGTTGAACGTCGAGAACAAGTGTTCAAAAGCTACGAATTATTATGCGACTAATTTCTTCACGAATTTTCCCTTGACATTTAAAAAGAAATTCTAATTCACTTCCAGACATTTTCTTTCTTTCTTGCTTAATATCCTTATACTAATTCTGATAGAAGATACCTTAACCCTCGTACGACGAATGCACGGTCATTTTGAGTCAACAGGGATAAAGTCAGATTATGTTTACAAATTTACGTTATCAAATGTAAATAAAGTATACACAATTCCTTCTTGAAACCCGTGTACAATAGAAATTTTGCTATGAACCAAAATGACCCTGCATCCGTCTCCCTAAAGCCATTCGCCTTCCGAGGGTTAAACTAAAATTCTTGCAATTTTCAAAGGAATTATTCTCAGATCTTATCCTATCAATTCGACATTGCTATCGATTTAGTATCCAATTAACGCGAAATGTTGTCATATTTCGTCAGTTATTCTACACATACATTTGCACACTCGAGTCTCCGTCTATACTGTCGAATTGTTCGGAAAATTCGTGCTCATTCGGAACGCGACTCGCGACACACGTATCTTTTTTCTTTTCTTTTTTTAGAGGGAAGGTGTAACTTATTTATCGACTCACCCTCATTACCAAGGTGGCTTGTAAACGAGGAGCGTGTATAAAATTTCACGAGTGAGAATTAACAGGTACGTGGTCTGTCATGATTTCAGGTACATTGCGCGCCTTACACCGGGGATGTATGCGCTATCGGGAGCGACGCTGGTGTGTTCAGGGTGCAGGCCATGTTGATGGTGATTCTGGCGGTACTCGCGAGGTACTTCACGTAAGCGATTAGGCGGCACTCGTAGCCGGAAAAAGGGGACGA